TGCTGTAGCTCTCTAGGGAGGCCTCAGGAGATAAAATTCTCGTAGGAAGAATGCTTGTTAAAAATAAAGGGCAAGTATGCTAACTTCCTACTTGAATAAATATCAACGTAGTAATTTAGTAACTAGAGCTCTGTAGTAACTGGAAAAGTAGTTCCCTCTCATTCTGACATTAACTCCTTTCCATCAAGGTAGTTTTCAAGGAGTAGTTTGAAAAACAATCAGACAAGCTCAAGGACAGAAATCAGCTGATCAAGAAATATGAAATAAAAATGAAGACTGATGAGATGTAAAAGGATATGCATGCACTCCAGAGAGAGATAATGTTCAGGCGTCTGTTCAAGTCTGACGCAGCAGGCTATTCCTAAGCTTCTTCACAGAGAAATGATTAAGATAAATGTGCAGAGACACTTTTAAAACTCTTGTCTTCTTTTACTACGTTTTATTCCAGCTGGTAAGAGAAAAATATAATTTCATAATGAGGTAATGTTAATTATGTTTTTTATCACTGCTCACATGGAAATGGAAAAATTTGATACTAAATGCTCTGACAGTTGAAACCAGAACAAGGACTTGACTTACGAGAAGTAGGATAGCATAATACTGCTGAAGGGAGGGAAAAGCAGGAAGTCCTAACACAGAGAATGTGGTACAAGTAAAGGTGAATCAAGCCCTTTAAAATGATAATCCATGATTCAATATTACTAATCAGGGCACTGAGCACAGATTAATGTATATTTACACATTTTTCACTGATACTCACAGCTCAGGATAGTTTATCTGCTTCACAGCTGATCTGTAAAGGTGAAGCATCATGTTAAGGCAGGTGTACCTCTTCCAGTTATGAAGATAGGTCATTTAAGAGTATATTGCTTTATGATGGACAGACATGTTCACAGTAAACAGTCCTTATTACACAGAGAAATACTGCAGGGATTAACCTGAAATCCACTAAATCAGGTGGAACATGACTGGATAAAAATATTTAAGGAGTTTAACTTCCAATATGTGTTTTCAGAAAAGATTTATAAAGACACGGATGTTTAAAATCATACATAAGAGACTCCAAAAAGTATAATACAATATTGAGGAAAGCCAGCTGAAGATTAATTTTGAAAGTCATGAATTGGAAGACCTATGTAAATCAAATATTTTTAAAAGTATGAAACTGATTTTCTTCATATTATCTATGTAGAATGGGAAATATCTTCCAGTTACCAACATATCAGATTTTGCAGAGACCAAAAATAGGAAATAGCTATTTCATATACACAGACTAATGGAAAAGAAGGAACAACACATGTATGTGAAGTCGGTATACAACACTGTAAGAAATCAGCATGTTTCTTAGAAATTAAATGATGATTCGCACAGAGACAAATGAAAAAAATCTACTGATTGAGATTTTTCATCATACAGATTAGAAAATCTTGTGTACTTGACAGAACTCCAAAAAGGAGTTGGCACATTTTACTCCAGTTTTAGTTTTCCTTCTAATCACATGTAAACTGTGAATTTAACTGGGATTCTAAATCAAAGAAACAAGTAAAGGTAGAGGCAAAAAGGAAAGATATTGGAATTGGAGTGCAACAAGATGTCAGATGACCCAAGACATTGCTAGCAGTGACACCAAGACACTGCTAGCTAACATCAGAAACAGATCTATTACTGTTGCCACAAGAGAAAAAAATGCTATATGACATTTTCAGTTCACAGAAAAGTAATAGACTTAGTGTCAAGCAGACTCGGTTTATCTATTAGTCATCAGCCTGTACAACAACAAAAGAAACTTTCAGAGACTAACCACCATAACTACTTAGATTCAACAATCACAACAAACAAGATTAAGAGGTTTTCATATATATGGAGAAAACACAGCCTACTCTAATTCACCACAAAGAATGACAATTAAAGAAAACACTGCATACAACACATATATGTTCATCCTATCCACAATGCAAAATCTGTAAAAACTACATAAATAGATGATTCAACATTTGGGCCTACAAGAGAAAGATTACACAGAAAAGCCCTCCAGCTAACAAATAAATCTCTCTCCTAGCTTTTTATCTTGTGGGGTATGCAAAGATTCCAGCTTTTTATATCTGATTCTCAAATTGGAAGGAAAATACAATGCTCTTTCAAATAACGGAGAAGACTAATAAAATGTATGGGGTTTTTTTTCACCATTTATGCCTAATATGTTACTCTATGAAAGTCCTTTCATCAGTTCTCTCTAAAATATTTCTGAACCTTTTACTAATTTCTTCTTTCCCTGAATAGGACCATTCCACTAATTAATGGGTGAAATCCAAGTACCACAACAGAACTGTACTTTCCATTTTCAATGTACCAAGCTCTTACATTCCAACACTGTTTGGAAGACATGGTAAAACAATAAAATCAGGAAACATCTGACATAAAAATGGTTTAAATCTAAAAATAAATATGCTACACTGAATACTCTGATGACCTGTAGTTACAAAACATCATGTCATAAAAGACATACTAAGTAGTGATCCGAACATAGATGCACCTTATTATGAAACACATAGTAATTACTATGAAACACTGGTAGTTAAACATTCATTATGGAAGGATAGTTATGAAACAGAAATCTTCTTAATAAGACACTCTAGATGGAACCTATTAATTTAGTGGCATAAAGTCTAACAGTTTCACAACACCAGGACTGAAATATACATCATCAGCTGTGCAATACCTAAACTTATAATCTGTTCTGAAGATACATATTCTGCACTGTGCTGCAAAGTCCTCTTCACTACCACACTTCAGTTAACAGCATCTCCCTTTACATTACAGATACATTTTGTGACTTATGTTTGGTCTTTTACTTTTGATAATGTTCTTTTCTCTCTTTAGTATTCTGCAGGAGATAATGTTATTAACTTAGACCTGCTTCCCTGTATGAACTATATTGTTAGAAAATGCTATCACATACTATTAAGTCATTCTGCATAAATTCTGAATAAAATCTGTAGAATGTTTTACATAATCCTAGATCTTTTATTTCTAAATGCATTATCAATATTTGATTGTACAAATTAAGAGGTATTGAAAATCTCCAGATCTGAAGGCTGATATAAATTTAGGTGCAAAAAAGGTATTTTATACAACTCTACAAAAAATCAAACTCCTCTGCTCAGTATAAAACTCATTTCATATTGCTTTACAATGAAGATAATGCTTCCAAGTACATAATAAACTTACAGTGCTGGTCAAGAGACAAGTTCAGCAATACTGGTCTACTATGTGGTACTTCTGTTGGAAAATAAACCCTCTTTCCAGTTCTCCTAGTGAGATCAAGTGACTGAATAACTTAATAAAAAAAAAAGCTTCAAGAAAATGCATCCTTCTGACAAAATATAACAAGACACATTTTCAAAGCATAAGCTGGAACTCAGCCATACAACTCCTACTAAACATTACTGGGAGCTGCCTGTCAAAAACACTGCTCATCACGCTGAAAATGTCCTTCAGTGATAACAATACGGTTAAAACTTTTGGACATACACATAAATATTTTTCATGAGGTGTTTCTCAAGATAACATTTGTGATTTATGCTCAGCTATGCTTTCAGAAGTATCTGTATCACAGAAAAACCTCAGAAAATATTTTACTCTCTGGTTATCTAGTCCACTAAAATCTACTACTCTTTCAAGAAAATTTCAACATAAGTCTGGCTCTTTAAAGTAGATTTTTAAAGAAGGCACACAAGTGAAGTTCTTCATTACAGAATATGTTTCGGTGTTATCTATATTACTTTGATATCTCATGTACTTTATGCACAGGTGATCTTGCTAAATTACTTTTAAATCGGTTTCTAAAAATATTACCTCTCCCCTTAGTAGAGGAATAATACAACTTCTCTAAAATGAAGCGGGTAGCATCAAAGAAAGATGGAGAACTCTGATATAAACTACAGCACAATAGAAAAAGAAAAATATGAAGACTCTACTGTGTACCACGAATGAAATCATAAAAATCTTGGGGCTGAAGTGAGATTGGATTATCAAGTCAAACATATGCTTCTAAAAATCATTGCTTTTAGAAAAAAAAATCATATTAAAGGGATAAAAGCCAGCATAGTTTATATGTATTTGAATTTAAAAAAAATTTAAAAGTTACTACTAAAAGGCATCTGCAAAAGAGATTACATTTACACCCTGGGAATTGCTTATTTACTGTTCTGATTTTTTTTTGCTCTCACAGCAAAAGTCAAGGTTACAACATGTAAGATTACATTTCTGTGAACATCTGGAGTCAATTCTAATTACGTAACAAGGAAAAGGTAAATAGAATGGGAATTTTTGACAAAAGATATTTTCCTGCTTGTCTATGTTGAAGAAAACAGATAAAAAGTGAGCCCTATATTTCAAACTAATTTATAATTTAACAATTGTTGTATTGAGTTCCTTAACTCCAAAAGTTCAACTAAACATGCTTCCATTTCAATCTGGGACTTTAAATTATGTGAGGTATGTCAGGGATTTTACCTAGCACACAATTAAATATTAAATATTGTTACCCTACTTCTCAGACACTAGTCTACATAAAGTAACTTGTTTTATAACGGGTAGAGGTCCAATTTGGACATCTAGGATTAACATGGGCAGCTAAGTACTCAATTTGAGATTAAGCACCATAACATCAAATGAAATCAGGCTAACAAAATACAATATGTTAAACCCTGTCTTTCTAAACACAACACAATAGGGAAAAGACATTTCATCAACTTTCTAGTGTCTCTAAATTTGTAAATAAAAGGAGAAAGCTAGCTCAAGACATAGCAAACTAAAGACTTATTATGGCAGTGGAGAAAATTAATAGTGAGAACCCTCATCATTAATTATTCTTCTGTACACCATGAAGTTAAAATATAAGAGTATGAAAGTAAGAAAAATTTTGTGACTTTTGACAATTATTAGAAAGAAAAAGATTATAACAATTGCCAAAAAAATCACAAAAGTTGACATGTTACCTGGCTATGACAAAGAGCACACAACTGACACCCAAGTAAGCCAGCAGAATATACATCCAGATATCAGGGGAGAGAGGATTCAGGAAGGAGAAGACGCCCGGGTTTGTACCATTGGGCTTGCGGTACAAAATACTTATTCCAAGAGTCATAAAGGGCTTGGAAAAGTCGATGACCTTCTCTCGAACATAGGTAATTGCCAATGGTGCAACTGCAAGGTCGGCTTTCTGTTAACAGAAATACAAAAAGAGAAACAGGCCATAAGTCAGAAGAAATAGGTTGAAGCATAAAATCAGGTTAGGCAAAACACAAATTTTACATGGAGGAGGTTTGTTCGTGTACTAGGTAGGCTGAAATTTAAAATTCTCTTCTCCCTATAAGTAAGAAAGCAGATTTATTCTAATTCCTGTTTGCTAAACTGACATAGCAGCATTTAGAGAAAATTAAAAGCACTATTAGAGGGATAGAAATTAAGAAAAATATTGCATCTTGCAGAAAACATGAACATCCATTATCACACCTTTTAAAACTTTTTAAAATGTACATTTCAATATGTCTTCTCTTTGTCACTCCTTCACTGTGCTCTTTGGAAGCTAATATATTTCTGAAGCAGATGTGAATATGCTTGTACAAGTGGAGGGAAATGGCCAGGAAGCACTTTTGCTAATTTTAACATAAAAGTATTGGTATAAAATGAAGAACATTTTAAAATGGGAAGTGCTACACCTGAAAGGTTGCTACAGGGAGTAAATTCTAACAAAATATAACTGTCCTTACTAGTTTGCAGAAATCATTATGAAACTTTTAGATAACTAACTATTAATCAATTGTGGCATTTAAAATTAAATCATACAATAGAATGTATTTTGCCAATTTACATTCAGTTTTAGTAATTATGGCAATAATTCATAGCAGATTAGTATATGGTCTATACTATTTTTTATTCAAAACTTAATAGAAATTATAGTGACAAGAAATCTACAGCATCTACTTTTTAATCTCTGTCAACAGCTCTTGAAAGACTACTGTGCATGTGTGTGTGCGTACATGTATGTGCAGGTACCTGTGCACATATGAAGGAGGGAAGTTCAGAGTGAGAAATTATACAGTACAAGACTTGGCAAACTGTAAATTAAGAATTCCTTGTAAACTATACATAAATATAGGTATGTAATGACAGAAATGGTATAGCTACCTTGAAATACTGTTATCCAAGTAACATAGCTGCAAATAACACCATTTTCACAATACCTGTTTTAAACCAAGATCCAGATATTTTATTCCCAATAAAATCATATACATTCATACTTTTATATATTTTATTTTGCTCAGTTGGTATTGTGTATACTGTGCAACACTCAATATCCCACACAATGTTATAGCATTTTAATGTTTGCTATTTTTTGTCTCACCTTCACAAAGTTCTACTATAGTCTGTTTTGTGAGCATTTATCATACCATTAGTTCTACTCCAGTAAAGTATTTCTATGTGACAACATGAAACTCTGTTGGCACTGTTCGTTTAATCTGGTGAGGGTTTACTGGTCAAAAACATGACATATGTTTCATTTCCATTGGTATTCAGAACTTATAGGTACTAATCAGACCAGAAAGGCTTTATTCTACAGCAGCTGAGTTTTCATGGATTACATATTATTGATGATATTCCAGCTGATACAGAAAGAAAACAGTAAAGTAAGCAACTAAAACTAATTTGGATCAAAAGTTTTAGGTCAACATGTAGAAGTTTGAGAAACATAACAACTCAAGCTATTATTTTGCGAGGACTAGCAGTCCTTACCCTAAGAGTCTGCAGTCCACTCACTAGAGATTGTCTGAAGATGCAGCTGCCCAAAGATAAAGAAAATAGATCTTTTGGAAGGCTATTGGCAGTTCTGAATTTTGGTCTTAAAACATAAACAGAGCATTAACGAATAACAAATCATTATCTTAACAAATACTATAGGGTATCCAACCCTTGGTCATTGAATGTAAACAAGATGGTATAACAAGTGAATATAGGTTGCAACTATCTCCACTGGAGCAAAGCTCTAGGGAAACTGCAGACTAAATTAGAAAAATAACCTAACATTAAATAGTGCGTGTCTCATATGACAGAACAAGACAATCAGATATCCCAGCCTGGGAGAAACAGATCAAAAATACAGGTCCATATCTTCATAAGATTTTCTTCAGAGTTTTAGTAACTCCGTTTCAATATTCTTGAACTAGTCTATCACCGTAAGAACAAAAACTAAGCATCCCAACAAAAATAAAATCCAGAGCCTTTACCGACTGAGGAAAAAAAAACTGCTAGAATGACTGACATAAAAATGTAATACTGCCACACATAACCACTTTTGTTAATATATGTTCTCTCCAAAATATTAATTCTCTTGGGAATTGTTTCATTCTGAAATGGCACTACTTGAAAGTAAGAGAAATAAGGAGCTAAGTTTCCAGAAGTGCAGTACCAGAGTCACCTACACTCTTCCACAATGAAGAAATAAAAATAAGAAAATTCTCTTACTCTTCTCTAATTGAGTTTAATTTAATGAATTGGAGAGGAATGGTGTAAAACTAGGATTTTAACAACCTAAATTTATCAATATTAACAAATGAGTACATCCTAAAATGGCTTTCTGATAAGTTCCATAACAAAGAATATTTGCCTTGGCAATGATATATGATTGCATTTTTTTAGAATGAATGTATGTATGATTCTATTTTTTAAAGGAAAAAAAGATTTATTTTTCTGAAAGCATAATCCTAAATGGCACATAGTCTTGAGTTTAGACTACTTTAGATGACAGCCTTTTTATGACAGCATCCAAGGACTGGTGATAAGCTAGTTGCTACAGAGAAAAATTCTGCACCAACTAAAGGTTATCATAGCTATTAGAAACAAGTAAGATTGACAAGGACATTCCAACACAAGTCACAGTCATGAGCAAAATGGATGAGTCATAGAGCAACAGAAACAGTAGCCATACCACGTGATGAAGGAGCGCACCACAGACAATAATGCCAATGGTAGATGGCAAAGACTGGAGAAAAACACTCCTCACAATGAACTCTTACTTTAATTATGTCAAGTGTGAGGAAATCACAATCCTGCATTCACTCCACCATTCAAAGATATGACATGATAAACTGGAGAATGGCACTCACAGGCTGCATCCATCTTGACAGATTTTCAAAGAGACCTTCTCTAGCACAGAAGAGAAAGTCCAGGACAAGAGGGAGGAAGAAACAGAATTTATCATACTCCACAGGACACTGTTCAAAGTCAACTGAACCATTGACAGTTATTTCCACCCTACTTTCTCAAAGTGCATCAGATATTTTGAACATTGCTTTTAACAGTACATTCTCGATAGTACTTGATCTTCCATCTTCACCATCCATCTTAAAGGACAAAGATATTTTCTCTTTTCATACTAGCATATGTACTCTCAGTATGGTCTACTTTCTACACCACTGCAGAACTCTGTGAGCAGGGATTGACAGACCTTCCCTTCTTTTTGTGCCATATAAGGACTGCATATACACTTCACAGCCATGTAAAGGTTTCCCATTCTTTCACTGCTGCCATGTGCAGTTGTAGGATGTTCACTCACCAACAAACAACTCGAAGTATACATGATCAAGTTGCACCAGGGGAGTTTTAGATTAGATATTAGGAAAAATTTCTTTACCGAGACAGTGTTCAGGCATTAGAACAGGCTGCCCAGGGTGGTGGTGGAGTCACCATCACTGGAAGTGTTTAAAAATGTGTGGACGTGGCACTTCAGGACATGGTTTAGTGGGCTTGGTGGTGTTGGTTTGATGTTTGGACTTGATGATCTTAAAGGTCTTTTCCAACCTTAATGATTCTGTGATTCTGTCATTTATTTCTGCTACAGAAGCCCCTAAGGCATACTAAAATCTTTCTCTGTCTTCATTTACTTTTTACCTCCAAGCAGCTTGTTGATTATTTGACATAAAGTAAAATTTCAAGAAAAATTGGGAGGACTTCTTTTCAGTTGTATAGGGCTGAAATTTGGTACATTACCTCTAAGAAAACAAGTTTTAAAATTATAATGAGTTCAATCTCTGCATGCAGCTACAAATAACTTCAGCAAGAAATCTGTGCATAAATGTTGAGTAGCACATGGGCCATAGCATCTATAGTAACTTGGCATTTGCAGACATTAGTATTTTGTATGTGAAAATTAACTCTATAAAATATAACCCATAGAAACTGCCACATGACCTTTTGAAATTGAACTTTGAAAGCATTTAATAGCTTCTACTAATAGCGCTGGGGAAAGGAAAAACAAACACTGATTGAATTTACTTTTGATGATCCTTTTCTGAAAAACTTTTGTCTCACGTATTTTATTCAAAGGAATGAAAAGTTTAAATACAGTCTAGACATAGCAACAACAAAATTGCTAACAGTAATTTTTAACTAGCCTCTACAACTACAGAATATCCTGCCATAATAATGGAATTCTTCAGCCTATGTAAATAGAGTCTACTGGTAAGAATTTTGCTGCTAAAATTTTGCATTGATTAGGACCCATGAATATTTATATTACAAATGCAGGGGGAATCATACAATCTATATCCATTCTTAGTTGTCTATACAGTCAGTCAGTACAACTATATTGTGATTGTATAATATACAGAAAACTACATAAAAACTGAAAATACATTTTAGTAATTTTACTTACATACAGACAGCAATGTATTTACTGCCTGTAACTATTTTTAAAAATAAAGGAAGCTATTTTTTTTAAAAGGAAAAATTCATAAGACTTCTTTTTAATCCACTACCTCTGCTCTTCAGCCTAAGACCCTAAGTCAATACATAAACTACTTCAGTCACCTCAAATTTTGGGGATTGTTAACCTGAGGACTGCATTTCAGTTGCATTCCCTTTGGAGAAAACGCATCTCTAAGCTAAACAGAGGAGGGCTAATGACCAGCTTCAATTCTTTAAACCCATCTAATGGGCTCTTAATGCACAGAGTTTATGCATTATTCCTGTTCACAGAAATGGATTTCCCTGCTGCTGATTTGAAAAACTAAGATCTGTAGTTTGCCTTTAAGCTTGTGAACTATCCTAAACTGGCTTGTTCATGCTGCTACATTACAGAAAATTTTACACCCTGTGAAAAGCTTTTTGTTCTTGACACAAGATACTCATTTCTTCTTGAAACCACTAGGAATTTATTAGGGC